GCACAATCAAACAAAAATTTGACAGTCAAATACTTGTTAATACTTGTGATTAAGTCAGATATCAAATAATTGCAGATAAACCAATAGTATATTTTTAGCTTTGGTTAATCTGCAATTATTTGACATCCAATTTAAACAAATAAAAATAAAAAAATAAAAAAATAAAAAATAAAAAAAAAATAAAAAATAAAAAAAAAATAAAAAATAAAAAAAAATAAAATAAAAAAAAATAAAAAATAAAAAAAAAAATAAAAAATAAAAAAAAATAAAAAATAAATAAAAAATAAAAAATAAATAAAAAATAAAAAATAAAAATATATATATATATAAAAAAAAGAAGATAACATATTAAATAAATTACTCATGCTAAATAATCCAAGCACTAAATTGCCTATATATTAAATTTACCAATTAAGTTTTATTAAAAGCTATAGTAAGTTAAAATTAAACATATTATTATAAATTCTTATTTAATAAAAATATTAGAAAACTAAATTATATTTTATTAGTTAATAAAACCTATAAAATAAGTCTGCTAAGATAGATGATTTTATAGAACATGATTATGGTAATATTTATAAGTCTGATACACCTAGCTCTAATAACTCTGCCTTAACATCTTCTATACTGATTAATAACAAAACTAGCAAAACAACTAGCAAGATTATTGGCAAAAGTATAAGCAAAACCCCTAATAGAGCTACTAGTGAAACTGCTGATAAAGTTGCCAGTAAAACTACTAATGAAACTATCATATTATCAAAGCTTATATCTGCTGTTTGAGAATATTTTTTCTTATTAGTGGATGAGCAAAAGGCTAAATGTGAATATTGCAATAAGTTATTTAATCACAAAAAAGAATATAGTATATTTCATCTTTGGTGCCATCTTAGTTCTTGTTTAAAATTTCAAAACTTATCAAATAGTCAAACACAATTAAAATTTAACTCTTTAAAAAAAAAACTATATATTAATAATTTGGTCTAAAAAGACTTAACTGACATGATAGTCTAAGATGAATTAAGTTTTTAGTTTGTGGAAGGTTAAGGCTTTCATAAGCTTATAAATGAGTTGTTATCTAATTTCAGTATCAGTACTAACACAATTAAGTGAAATATTATAAAGGCTTATAATAAGAAAAGGATATTAATTAAAGAAATCCTTCAAAATGCTAAAGGCAAAATCTTTCTTACTTGCGATACTTAGATGTTGCTTTAGCAACTTAGATACCTTTCAGTTACTATGCATTTTTTTAATAAGGATTAGAACCTTGTATCTATTTTATTATCATTTCCATTAATTCTCTATCTTTATACTGGAGTTAATATTGCCAACTATATTAAGGCTGAGATGGATGAATAGTTTATTACTACTAAGATAATTAGCAATTTATAATTATTAAGATGTAATTAATTTAGCACTAATAAGAATAATAAAATATTATTTTAAGAAAAAAAAATAGTTAAATATTTTGTGATTTTATTATTATAGTTATGCTTAATAATGCTACTTCAAATGATATTAGATTCATAAACTAGCTAGTTATATCTCACAAGACTCATTTATAAATATTGACAAAGATCTTTTTTATAATCATTGCTTTGCTCACATTTTGAATTTTATAGTAAATGATGGGTTGAAAAAAATTTTAGATATTATTGGAAAGATAGTTAAATTAAATAATAGTTAAAATGTGTTAATCAATATATACTAATAATTAATATTATTAAAATTTATTAGGTTTGTAACTGTGTTAAAGCAATACATATAGCACCAAGGTGGTGCCAAATCCTTTTGAATATTAGTGAATCAGAATTTGGAAGATTTGTAATTTCTCTATTGAATTGTAATACTTGTTAGAATTCCATGTTTCTGATATTACAATCGGTTATAAAAATTAAAAATATAATTACTAGAATGAAAGATAAAGATAGAATATTTCCCAATATACTGAATGAAGAAGAATAAAAAAACACTGAAGCTATTTATCATATTTTAAAGCTATTTAATAATTATATGTATTATAAGAGTTGCACTTGTAATATGAATTATTAGATTAAATATATACATATGTATTTTTTTTAAAAAAAAAAATAAAATAAAAATAGATATTTTAAAAGCATCAGCAAGTTTGTACCCAATTCTAAACAGTACTCTTGCTTCAATTTAAAATATTTGTACCTATCTTTTGGATATAATATCTCATTTAGATAGTTTTGTTTGTGATATCAGTCAATCTATGATTAAAAAATTTAATAAGTACTGGGAACATAGTAGCCTCTTGCATATGATCACATATATTCTTAATCCCCATTACAAAATTCAAGTTATTTCATATTACTATTATGAAAAAGAAAAACTAGAATTATGGAACCTTGATAAAAAGATACAAGACATTCACGAAAGTATGATATTTATTAAAATTTATTAAGTTTTATTCAATTTTGTATTTTTTTTTAATTTAATATTAATAAAAAAATTAGATTTGAAGATATATATCTTCATGTATATTATTTATCACCAACTATCGATCAAAAGATGATAATCATTGATACAAAAAATGATATATCAATATTTGAAAATCATGCTGATGACTTCTTTGAATATGCAGCAAGACAAATTCAGATTAATGAAAATAATTCACTTTGTAAAGTAAAATGATATTTGGATGAACTACTAGCTATGAAAACTACTGATATACTTGAATAATGGAAATATAATAAGGATCAGCTTCCTAATTTGTCAGCAATGGCTTGAGACTTTCTCATTATACCCACAACAAGCATTAGATATTTAGTTGCACAGGTTATATTATTGATAATAGTTATGCATTATTGGATACAAATACAATAGCTGCATTAATATGTCAAAAAAATTGGTTAGATGCAGCTAAAAAGTTTGGTTGGAGTCTGTGAATTTTCAAGAATTAATAGAAAGTTATTATTATTTTTTTTTTGATCTTATATAAATTTTTTTTTTGATTTTATATAGATTTTTTTCTTTTTTGCTTTTATATTATTTTTTTTTGATTTTGTTAATTAGGCTTATGCAAAATCAATTTAGTTTAGCTTAATCAATTTTTATAAATCAAAAAATATCTTTACTCAAAGTTTAGGGAAAATTTGACATAGCTTTTAAAAACTTTGAATGAATTGACTGAAAATTGGATAATTTTTTCTTGTAATTCTCGACATGATTGTTCATTTTAAAATCTTGAGATTTAGAGCCTATTACATCAAAGTGAAAATATTAGGTATAGAAATGCAAAGAGTTGTTGGAGACCAAACGGAAGATAGTGCAGGAGGACAAAGGAATTAATGCTTAAGCCCCACACCGAGTAGTTTACTACTCCCCTCTAAATAAGAATGATCATAAGCAATTTTTTACTCAGGGAAGAAAAAAAAAAAAGAATATCAAGAATTTTATTGAATAATTTTAAATATTTTCTGATTTTGAATATTATATTAGAATCAAATACATGTTATTCTTTTATGATAAAGTAATCTGTTCTATTAATAAAAATAAAAATTTTATTAGTAAATTTTATAGTGATATTGAGAGAATTTTATAAACTAATTTGAGCTTACTATATCAAGATTCTAATTAGCCTTTACTTTATCAAGAGTGGCTTGTAATGGTATAGGGTTAAGCTTGATAAAAGTTATTGTTATTAATACTATCTTGGTGAACTATATATGTGGTCGAAATGTTTTGACCATTTTGGCCACTTAGCAAATGTCCAAAGCAAAGTTATCAATAATTTGTAAATATAATAGAAATTAGGCTTCATATGAGTGCTGCCAAGGAAAAGGGATACTTTGATCTATCATTATATCAAGTCTTTCTGATCGGGTTTTCAATTTTATAGTATAATGCACATAGTGGCTATGTGTATTACCTTATAAAATTGAAAACCTGATTAGAAAGACATGATGTACTGATAGATCAAAGTATCTCTTTTCCCTTGGCAGCACTCATATAAGTTAAGCCAGATCCGCAAAACCTTATGCAAGCCCTTTTTGTATTTTGGCAAGACCTTTTGGTATTCCGGCAAACTCTGGAAGTTCCAGCTATATATTAAGTTTGGATATTCGAAAATTCCAGAGTCTGCCAAAATACTAAAGGTCTTGCCAAAATACGAAAAAGGCTTGTATAAGGTTCTGCGGATCTGGTTTAACTTATATGAAGCCTAATTTCTATCATATTCACAAATTATTGATAACTTTACTTTGAACATTTGCCAAGTGGCCAAAATGGTCGAAACATTTCGGCCACATGTATATGGTGAACACGGCTAGAGAAATAAGGGATTCAGATGTTAGATTTGAATTTTAAAAAAATTTAAATTTGAGTCGAAATTCCAGTACCTCCCGCTGTATATTTGAAAGGTTTATCTTTGATTTCTAATCTGTTACTAATGTCTAATCTGTTACTAATACTGGGTTTCTTTTTTACCACAGAATATTCAAGGTAAATTTTACAAATTTAATTTAAATTTTTTTCAAATTGGGGTCTAATATTTGGTTGTTGTTTTTTTTAAACCAAAAAAACTAAAGCTAATTCCACCTTTTGAATCTTCGTAGTTAAAATGTAATTACCATGTTATTTTTTTTGAGCTAAATCTATATGTTCAAATATTTTGAATACTAATTTGTTTGCTAACATAACGGATAGAGATTCTAGCATTTTATAAAAAAAATTATGTAAATATTTGAGTGCCATTGGGAGAAAATCTGTCATCAGGTTTTCAATTATATTTTGTACCGGACATATTTCCTAAAAATTAAATAAACTATGTCCGGTACAAAATATAATTGAAAGCCTGATGACAGGTTTCTCTTTGCGCACTCATTCATATTCTGGATAGAGCCCGTGGGTAGTTCGGAGGGTAACCACAACTTAACGGGACGGGTAAGTACAACAAGATTTGAGCCCGAGGGTAGGGGCAGGATCCAGAAAATTAGGCCCTTATATATATGGGTAGGGCTAGGGCACACTGATATTCGGCCCAACCCGGCCCATGCGGAGGCCTAACAATAACTATAAATTATTAAATAAGTTATAAGGTTGAAATTGATTCTTTATATCCGTTCATTAAATGATAAGCTGTTTAGCAACTTGTTAATTTTTAATGATTTACTTCAAGTACTTCAAGTAATCCTTTACAGTATCAACTGTCAGTGCGCATAGAATGGTTCTACCACAAATCCCGAAAGCCATTTTCCTGAAAGAACATAATACGACTAATCGGCCAGCGTTATTGCTAACTTCGTCAGTATTACTGTATTATGTCCTTTCGTGAATCTTTTTTTCGAGATTTTGTGGTAAAACCGCATAGAATAGTTGTTTAAATACGTATGTACGTACATACATTAGTTTAATACCCTGTTACAATAGATGCTGGTGAAATTAATTTCACCAATTTCACCAATTCACCACCAATTTCACCAATAGTGGTGAAATTATTTCACCACATTTCACCATATTTCACCAGCATCTAAACCTGTTACTAACTTGGCTATCATAATAACGCCCATATGTGTTATTTCAATCCAAGAGATCGGAAATTTTATATTTTTACTCAAAATAAGGCGCATGCGCGCTTCAAAATAGCGCGTAGGGGTCCAAAATAATACGGAGGGGCGTTATTACGCGCAAAGAAAGTAAATCTATAATTGCATTATAATCATTTGCAAGTGCGAACTTATTGTTATGTAAAAGCCTCATCGATGATTTTTTATACAATTCGTTGGTAATTTTATTCTATTTCAATTAATACATTATTTAGCAACAGGTTCAAAGAATCATTAATCCCTTTATTCCAAATTTAAATTTTAATATACAAGAGGCAAGTTTTTTTGTACAACAATAATTTCATTACAGAAATGAAGTTGTGAAATTAATAATAAACAAAATAGCAATAAAAATAATTATACAACAAAAATTCACGCAGAATTAATGTTTCTCTTACATTTAACAAATCTTAATGACCATCTTTCCAAAATTTTTACCAGTTAACATATTTACAAATGCTTCCGGAGCATTTTGGATTCCTTCAACTATATCTTCCTTATATTTTAATTTACCTTGTTTTAACCATTCACCCATTTCTTTTTGGAAAGATTCACTCATTTCTTGGTAATGATCACTTACGATAAATCCTTGAATTAAAAGGCGTTTTCCAACTACCTGCATTAAATTTTTAATGCCATAAGGAGTCTTGGTATTATATTGAGAGATCATTCCGCATGCCACTACACGGCCAAAAATGTTTAGATGATTGAGAACTGTTTCAAGAGTTTCGCCACTATTTTTTTTAAAAAATTGTTAATTATTTTTTCGGATTAATAAATATGATAAATACTGTAATTATGAAGGAAATTAAATTTACCCAACATTATCGAAATAAATGTCAATCCCATTTGGACATAATTCTCTCAATTTCTATCGATAACGTTAAATATTAGCATTTAATAATAATGTACATAAAAAAAATGCATTAACAATATAAACTAAAAAAAATCTAAACAGATTATCAATTACCTCGTCAGTATTACAAGTTTTATAATTAAATGCACCATCAAAATTCAATTCTTCCTCAAGATATTTAATTTTAGAATCATCACCGGCGGAGCCAATTACGCGTAATCCTTTAATCTTTGCAATTTGACCTACTACTTGCCCAACTGCTCCTGATGCAGCCTAATTATTAATATAAAAAATTTTTGAATATACAAGAACAATTATACTGTACATTTACGTGTATAAAAAAAAATTAATAAATTTTAATTTAACTTACTGTAATAAAAATAGTTTCACCTTTTTTCGGTTTACCAATTTTATTGAGGCCAACATAAGCAGACATTCCAGGCATACCAAGTATTCCAAGAAAATAACTTTTAGGTGCATTAGAGTTTGCAATTTCCTTCGCTAGACTTTCAATGCCTGATGTAGCATTTGCAGGAATATGTGTGTATTCTTCCCAACCTAATTAACAATTTCCATGATCAATTTATTACTAAATATAACAATTATAATAATAATAATGATAATAATAATAATAGTAATAATAATAAAATAATAATAATAATGATTTTTTACAAGTATTTCTCCGTCGGCAAGTGGAAAGTTTTCGATATCAATTTCTCTAGTAACAAATTCCATATGCTCTCCTGGTACCGGATAACTGTCAGGAGCTGCTTTAAATATGACGGTTGTATATCAGAATCCCGACACACAAAATCCCGACACACAAAATCCCGACAACAAAATCCCGATACACAAAATCCCGACAAATTAAAATCCTAAAAATATTAAAATTAGGAATTTCATTTGTCAGG